GCTTAAAACAGCATGCATGCCCCAAACCCCAAGAAAATAGAGAAAAATTGCAGCATGGTCATCTTCCCACCCTAGGTAGTGGAGGGGAGGATTGCTCACTTTCCCTCTGTCCAGAAGAGTGCCTGTGCCCTATGGCAAAAACCTTAAAAAAAAAAAAAAAAAAAAATCTAGAACATCCTCCCAAAGTAAATGTATGAAGGTCATGTGGCATGTACATCACATCATCCCAAATAAAATCTTCAATGTGTCCATCCAGGCATTTTCACACAATGTGGTTAACAAAGTGTTATTTATGGAGAAACATGCCAGAAAATCCTGAAGGTTAGTTATCTCCTATGAGTAAGTTCTAGAGATCTAAAGTACAGCACAGTGACTATATTTTTTAATTTTTTTTAATAACTGATTTTACTTTTCTAATTTATTGTAAGGTACATGTGCTCACAAGAGAGGGAGAGAGGTAGAGGGAGAAAAAGTGAGAGAGCAAGCTGCCACGTCTAGGACTAAAATTGCAGTAGGACTAAAATCGCAGTAGGCCATGTGGGAGTCCAGCACCTTAACCACCAGTCCACCCACTGGCCTCCAGTGACTATATTTAATAATGTATTGTGTATTTGAAATATGCTAAGGGGACTTTTTTTTTTAAGAGAGATTTGTGCTCTAGGGCACATGTTCATGCCGGAGAGACACAAAAAAATAAGAAATCACTCCTCAGGGGATACAGCCACACTGCAATCCCTTCTCCATTCTCTTCTCAGGATTTTGGACATGCACGCGCACCAGCATGAGGTTTAAATGACCAGGTCTAGGATTCGAACCACCATCAACTACAGGAAAGTAGAGCAACATAACCATTACACCATTTGCTGGTTCCAAGAATACATCTTAAGTATTCTTTCCACCTAGACCAGCAAATGTAGTAGTGGTTACATACTTGAACTTGGCCAACTATAGTTCAAGTCCCAGATTCAGTGGCTTGAAACTCACGCCAGGCAGAACCAGCAGTTGACATAATGGCTCTGTCACTGGACACCCATGTAGTCAACAGTAGTTCAAGTCCCAGACCCAGTGGTTTAAACTCATGCCAGGCACATGTGCATGCGTGCCCAAGATCCCAAGAGAATGGAGAAGGGATTGTATTGTGGCCACGCCCCCTGGGGGGTGATTTCTCACTCTCTGTCTTTCTGGCGAGCACACGCGCCCTATAGCAAAAACCTCTCAAAAAAAAAAACAAAAAACAAAAAACTCATGTCAAGCACATGTGTGTGCCCAAAACCCCAGAGGAGAATGCAGAAGGGACTGTGGCATGGCCAACCTCGGGGGGGGAGGGGGGGACGATTTTCACTCTCTCTCTAGAGAGCGCAGAAGCCCTATAGCAAAAGTTTCTAAAAAAGTATTCTTTCTACCAAAAAATACATCGAGTCAATGGATATGTTAACTAGCAATTAGTTTGTGGTAATGTTTTCACAATGTATGAATCAAAACATCACTGTAGGGAACCAGCAGTTAGCATAATGGCTATGTCGCTGGACTCCCACGTAGTCGACCGCGGTTCACGTCCCGGACCCGGTGGCTTAAAATCCATGCCGGGCACTTGTGTGTGCGTGCCCAAGATCAAGAGAGGAGTATGGAGAAGGGACTGCGGTGTGGCCATCCCCTCTGGGGGATGATTTCTCGCTTTCTGTCTCTCTGTCTGTCTCTGTCTGGCGAGTGCACGTGCCCTATAGTGAAAAACCTCTTAAAAAAAAAAAATCACTGTACACCTTAAATAGATACAATTTTTGTTAATCATGACTCAATCATTACTCAGTGAAGTTCTGGAAAAAATTATCTAGTCATATAACTAATTTTTTGTATGTTATCTTTACATTTTTCTATGAATATATCACATACTTGTTATAAAATGGGTAATGAGGGACCAGCAAATGGCGAAATGGTTACATCACTGGACTACCACAGTGGACCACAGCTCAAGTCCCAGACCCAGCTGGATCCCACATTAACAAAACTATAGTTTGAGTCTCAGATCCTGTGGCTCAAGGAACATCCAGATGTGTGTACATGCATGCCCAAAATCCTGAGAGGAGGGAGAATTAAGGGACTGAAGTATGGCCATCTCCCCAAGAGGGAAGCTTTCTCACTTTCCCTTCTCCAGCAAATGTACACACCCTTATAGCAAAAATTTTAAATTTAAAACCTAAAAAACTGGGCCAACAAGTAGCATGGTAGTTAAGGTGCTAAAATCCCACATGGTCAACTGTAGTTCAAGCCCCAGACCCAGTGGCCTGAAAATCATACCAGGTACGTGTGTAAATGTCCAAAAAATGTGACAGGAAAATGGAGAGGACTGCAGTGGCCATATGCTCGGGGGGGAGGGGGGGGTTTATTTCTAACTTTCTCTCTCAGGTGAGCACAAAAGTCCTACGGCTAAATCCTATAAAACCTAATCAAGCAAATGAGACAAGAGAAGCCTGAATAGGTTGAGATTGGGTATGACAATAAGCAATAGCAAAGCAAGTAGACTGACTCTTAGAGTTTAAAAAAAAAAAAAAGAGAGAGCTAGCCCTACATAATCAGACTCTTATTCACTGAGACTCATGCACAAAAAAATGCCAAAGGAAACAGAGGAGTTTAACAGATAATGAAGGCAAAATGATGGGCTTGAATGTCAAAGTCAAACTGGGAAGTCTGGTCTTGGTTCTTGCAACATTAGATTTCCCAGAGAGCAAAGGATGACCTGCTAATGACTGTATCTTTGTTTTAAAACAGTGCAATTAATTGCTGCCACCATAATATTCCCATCTCATCCCCTTATCTGAATCTCAGCAAAGGTTAATACCAACCCCTAGCCCTAGTCTTCTGAAAGCACCTTTATAGAATAGTGTCTGCCTCATGATCTGAAGGCTTCAGAATGTCTTATGAAGTTATTAAAGAGATACTATAAGCAATGGGGAAGCACTGAAGGATTATAACCACAGCATTTAAAAAAAAAAAAAAATTGGAGGGGGGACCAGCTGGTACTTGATGAAGGCAGCTGGATCCCATATGACTAACTCAGTGGTTCAAGTCTCAGACCCCACAGCTTGAAAAACACAACAGGAACATGTGCATATGTGCTCAAAATCACAAAAGGTAGAGAGGGAAGGGATTACAGTGTGACCACCCCCCATAAAGGTTACCTTGTTTTGTGCTCTCTCCCTCTTTGGCCAGCTCACATATCTGGTAAGTTTGCTTTTGTTTTTTAAAGTACCTTAAAAAATAACACTCTTGTGTGGCATTGCAGAGTTTGCACAATATGGGTAGCAACACATTGTGTTGTAAAAATCAACTCAGGGGGCTATAACCACCATTTCTTTTTAAAAACAAAGAAAATGCCAGATGTATATCACATGCAGGAAAGGCAAAATGTTACAATGAATCTTTTATAAATACTATAGTGACCTCTGTGTTCCAGATTGTGGCTCAAAATTATTTAATTGGGTCATAGCCAAAATGTTTAAAAGTCACTGCTCTAGAAGATGGACTAATGCTGCTTTCACCCTGAAGGGTGCAGCAACAGAAAAATTAAATGGAAGAGACACTTAATGGATATGGATTAAGAGAAACCAATAAAAATGCCAAGGTACTATACCTGGGTGATCTTGGGGAAAGAGGGTTATAATCATAAACGCAAACTGGCGGAAAGCTGGTTAAGGATATATAGGAAAGGCAAGGAGGCACATTTTATTTCAGAAGATAGGACATCCAGATGAAACTACCAAAAAAGCTCTCCCACACCAAAATCCTACAAACAAGTCTACACCATTGCTTTAATTTGGTCACCTTTACCAAAGGTAAACTATTAACTACCAAAGGTAAACTATTTGGTCACCTTTACCAAAGGTTATACCATTAACAATTCTCTTTCAGTTATGTTTTAAATTTACGCTGTGTCAACAACCAGTGGTTTTAAGTTAAAAAAAAAAAAAGATTTGGGTCCTAAAGGTGCCATAGTGGTTAAGGCACTGGAATTCCCACATGGCCGACCACGGTTCAAGTCTCAGACCTGACAGCTTGCTTTCTCACTCTCCCTCTCTCTCCCTTTCTCTGGCAAAACTCATGTGAAAAATAATAATCATAATAAATAAATTCATTCTTAAAAAAAAAAAAAGATTTAATTTTATTCATCTTTTTTTTTTTTTTTAATTTGACCAGAGAATAGGAAAGTAGGCAAGCAAGGTGCCAGGTCTGGGACTTGAACCACTTTTGACCATGTAGGAGTCCAGTGCCCTAACCACCATGCTACTTGGTGGACCCAGTTATGACTTTTATTAAAGAATTATTTTACTGAACTTTATCTTAATTTGACCAGAGAGAGACAGAGCGAGAGAAAGAAAAGTGAGAAAGCAAGTGGCTGGGTCCAGGATTCAAACTGTGGTCTTCCATGTGGGAGTCCAGAGCGCTTAACCACCACGCCACCTGCCACCCTGCCCTCCAGTTATAACTTTTTAAAGTATATCATCACACAAAAATAACCAATACCATCAGTCAGTCCCTGGCTACATTATTTGCCATTCCAAGTGCTTCACTTTGATTTAGCATTTAGTGGTTAAGTTCAGAAGGGTCTGTCAGTTGGCTGTGTGCATGGATGAGGATTTCATGACCACAGGGATGTATAAACCATATGAGCTCTCCTGTACTGGCACTACTAGGAGAGCTCTGTGCCAAAGGGTGCCCACAGGCTGCCATTCATTCTGTGCCCATCCTGAGTGAAGCTCAAGAGCCTTGCTGATCCGCTAAAGGGACAGGAGGGAAATGGCTGAACTCCAACAGATCACTTTACCCAGGACTGAATACCCAACATACATCAGAGTAGATGGACATAATTAAACAAAGCAGAGTGAACTTAAGAGATAAAAAGTCATATCCAACATGCCCTTGATGAAAAGAGTTTTGCTTTAGAGGAGGAGCCTTTTTAAGTAGTAAATTACATTAATTACCAACATTTTAAAACATCCAACATCTAAGAGTTCTGAATCTCTCATTTATTAGATGGCACAAAAATAACAGGTTTAGATTACATTTCAAAAGAACTCAAACTGCTCACAAACAGCCACTGGGCCTGCTTTAAAAGAGGGTGGGGATTCGTCAGACTACTACACAAGGAGACAAAAACTCAGCATCCTAAGCAAAATAGTAAAGAGTACACAAACAAGTTCTTTTTAAAACAAAACAGAGAAATCCACATACTCAGTAACATGTCTACAATGATTATAACATCCCTTAGGGGATAAGCCTGTATTTGTAGGAAGCAAACAAAGCTTTCCATAGAGAAATGACTTTCACAAGATGATTAGATGGACCTGCAATGAAGAAAATACATTTCAAAAGATGGGTTCAGACTTACACTGTTTTCACTGAAATATTTAAAAATAAGGCCCTTCTCTGTATCAAAGAAATTTTCTAAATACACATCATGGATAAAACAAATTTTCAAAAAAGTTATATGCAGAAACACATATTTGCAAATAATAGAAATTAAACATAAAGTTTGACAACAAAAATACTACTTGGAACTACCTAGAATAGGCCAAGTTTGTGTTCTGCTTTAGAGCCTTACAATGAAGTGAATCTGATTCTCACTGTAACTCTTTTCTTTTTAACCTTAATCACCAACGGCTGGGCAACTGAAATGGACATAGAACTATATAAACGTCAGAGAAATAAGTAAACCTCATTAATGTTTCCAAAAATTCATTTAGAGATAGAAACAGGTCCAAATAGATGCCTGTCTAAATGTACTGCAATTACGTTACAATTATTTTTCCAAATACACAGATATGCTCTGTCTTTTCTCAGCTCATTACTGACTCAAACAATTTGCCCTTCTAGGATCAATTGTTTGCTAATAAATAATTGTTTACAGTCACAAAATGATGTTAGGAGGTTTTCTTATTAGTTTTCCTTCTGCACCCTAATAAGATTGAAAACTAGCTGATTCCCAAGAGTCTAACCTTAACCTCGCTTTGTTTAACAGCCCAGGAAATGATGAACCATCTGCTTCAGAAAATAATGGACAGCCAAGAGGAAATATTGTTTAATTGTAGATTAACCTCCTCGTGAGGCAGTCTGAAGCAGCTTTAGAATTAGCAACTATAACCAGCAAAAGAAACAAATGGCTCAAGAGCCTTTTCCTCTCTCATTTAAGGTCCAGAAAGAATGCAGAGAGATTTCTATTTCCTATATTTACTTACAAACATTTCCACAGTGGAAAGAAAAATCGAGGTCAAAATTGATGCTTAAAAGTGTAGTTATTGCCCTCCAATTTTGTTTGTCCAAATACCTTTAATGCAGCAAACCATCAAACCATTTCATGCACTTAAAGCGTCCATTTAAAAAAAAAATAAAATAAAAACCTCTTTTCCATTATTTTCAGATTCTTATATTAAAATTAATTTTTCCCTGGTTTCTTTGTTAATAGTAATAAATCCACCACTGGGGAGTAGAAATTGTTTTATTATCATCAACATGGCACTTAAGTAAATGAAATCTTGTCAAGTACATGGTGACCTACAAGTTCAAAAGAAAAAAAAGAACAGGATGAGATCAAAATAGCCGGCCAGGACAAGAAATACAAAAGTGACAAATTAAATGTGAACATAGCCCTTTATCCAATAGGCTTCACATGCTAAGACTTTTCTAAAGTCACACGTGTAAAAGCACATAGGACATTGAATATTTAACACTGCCTCCTCTAACAGGCAAGGGTACCAAGTCCACTGTCATTCAGAACAGTATATAAATTCTGTAAACATTTCATTAATTCCAAAAATATTATTGAGGAATTCCTGAAAGGGCCTGGGAGGAGAGGGTCAGGAAACAGGACATATACTTGGGGTAGATTCTTTTAAGGTTTAACACACGCCTAACTTTAAGTTTTCTCTTAAAGCCTGGTGACAGTAACAGTTAAAAGCTTTGCTCTGTTGCTATCAAAAACTGTAAACGGTTCTTCTCAGTCAACAGTTACAATCAAGAACCAAAAACATCTATGAAAATTTCAAAACTAAGGAAATTTGCTATTTCAGGCAAGGTCATATTACTTTGCATTTCCAATAAGACCTAAAGGTCATCTACTTTGTGTAAATATTAAAAGAAAACAACCTGTGAGGAGAAGAAAGATTTTTGGCAATTTAAAGTCTTAAATTTCTTAAACAGAATTTGCTAAAATAAATTATAAATTATAAATTCCTCAACTTAATTTTGAAGCAATGAGCTAGTAATAACTCCCGAGATTCAAATAATAGTGCCTATTCAAGAAGAATGAGAGTTTGACATTCTTCTCTACAAAACAACTAGGCACAATTTTATCCATCAGACGTCTATCAACCTACGGATATTGAAAGCTTGGGAGAACAAGATAAAATCAACTCCAACCCTACAGTCAGCTGTAATATCGAGCAGGCATCAACAATGCTATTCATGAATTTAGAAAAATTAATAAATCCTGGGTTGAATGCAAGAAAAGGCTCAAATACAGGTGAAGCGTACTCACTTGGGTTTTGTTTCTGCATCTGTCACTTGGCGAATGAAGATACCATCTTCAGGATGTTCAGTGTCATCCATCTCATACATATATGATGATGCTATTGCAAGTGTAGTGCCATCATTACTGAAGGCAAGAGATGCGATGCTGGTGGGATATCGATGGAACTGACACAGTCGCTTTTTGTTAAATGGATCCCAAATATTTACAAATCCATCAGAACCACCTACAAGTATTTTCAAATAGTTAAAACAGTTCTTAAAGCCCGATACGGAAATAACCATTATTTTAACAAACAGTTCATTTTTAAGGATCACAGAAGTTACATTTTCCTTAAAAAAAAAAAAAATTATATATATACTAGATTTTTTCCTTAAATACCATAAAAAGCCAGCACAATTGTTTTAAAACTTCTGCCCAAGGCTGGCAGGTTGCATGGTGGTTAGGGCACTGGAATCCTAGATGGCCGACCATGGTTTGAGTCCTGGGCCTGGCAGCTTACTTTCTCACTTTCCCTTTCTCTCTCTCTCTGATCAAATTAAAAACAAACAAACAAAAAAAAAAAACCACAACAAATAAAATTAAGTAATTCTTTTTAAAAATATTCTGCCTAAACACAGTGTTGATTGTTTTTAGAATTATGCTATCTTAATAATTAGACAAGGCCAGCTGGTGGCATGGTGGTTAAGGCGGCTGGATCTTACAGGGCTGAATGAGTGATCAGAGTTCTGGACCCAGGAGTTAAAAACCACACCAGGCCCAAGTGTATGCCCAAAATCCCAAGAAGAGAACAAAGAAGGGATTGCAGCATGGCCACGCCTAGAGGGTACTTTCTCATTTTCCCTCTCTATATCTCTTTATATCGCTCTTTCTCTAGCAAGTACAAGTACCCTATGGAAAATTTTAAAAAGAATGAAAATTAATTAGATGTAAGTTGGCATGCCATACTTTACCTGTGGCAAATGTATTGTGAATATTGTGAAAGGAAATGGCGTTGACTGGGTAAATCTGCTCAATATTATTTTCTTTTAGTCTGTGACATTTGAAGGCATACTTCTTCTTCTGTACCTCAGGGCTTGGATCCAAATACTCAACTGCAACTCGGCCTTCAATAGAACTTAATACATAACCCTGCCAAGAGGGAACCAGAGGACAAAAACAGTAAAAATCCAGCTTCCAAAATCAAGGTACTAATTCTCAAGTCCAACACACACTAAGGATTTCAGAAATGAAAAGAAAGTATGGCTAGGTTTTGACAAAGTGTTTAGGCTACACAACATATCTATTAACTATTCTAATAAGTTAACATCAGTACCAGTTCTACGAAAAAAAAAACCAAGGCTATTATTTGCTTTCTTCACTGTACCAGTGACCTGCACATTGTAATAAAAAATAACCAGGGAACCAGCAGTTAGTGTAATGGCTATGTCGCTGGACTCCCACATAGTCGACCGCGGTCCAGGACCCAGTGGCTTAAAACTCACACTGGGCATGTGTGCGTGCATGCCCAAGATCCCGAGAGGAGAATGAAGGAGAAGGGATTGCGGTGTGACCATCCCCCCTGGGGGGTGATTTTTCGCTTTCTGTCTCTACATCTCTCTCTGTCTGTCTGGCGAGCACACGCGTCCTATAGTGAAAATCTCTCCAAAATAAAAAAATAATAAAAATAAATAAAACAGTTATCTTGTAAGACCTGAGCAAGAATTTTTAAGTTTTTTAATACCATTTTATTTGCTGTTCTGTCCAAAAGGAGATTCAAATTTGTTACCTGGGGTAAATATATTCTATGTTCTATGCCTTTTCATCTCCAATAACTGTAAAAACTACACTTCCCTCACTGGAGGCATCAAAAAGTCCAAATCAACTGGAACATGATTTCCAGCTCAGTTATGCCATCTCTCTTTTTTTTAACTTAATTTTTTTTAATTTAACTTTATTTATTTACTTTAATTTGACCAGAGAGGGACAGAGCGATAGAGAGAGAAAGCAAGCCACCAGGTCCAGGACTTGAACCATGGTTGACCACGTGGGACACCAGTGCCCTCAACCACCACATCACCTGCCCGTCAGTTATGCCACAAGAAAGTTCAAAACTGATTTACAATTTCAAAATTTTCTTCACTTGTACTTGAAATAATAAAACATCAAAAAAGAGACAGGGACCAGCAGATGGAGTAATGGTTACGTTGCTGGACTCCCACACAGTCGACCACAGTTCAAGGCCTGGACCCAATGGTTTCAAGTACACGCTGGGTGCAAGTATGCATGCGTGCCCCTCTCAAGAAGAGAATGGAGAAGAAGGGACTGCAGCATAGTCATTCCCTCCCCGGAAGGGGGGGTGATTTCTCACTTTCGGTGTCTCCACTGAGCACATGCAACCTTATAGCAAAAATAAAAATCTCAAATAAATAAGAGATTATATATGCCAAATATAAAACCTGTTATCATTAATAACCTTCATTTTTTTAATCCTTCAAAGTATAAAAAAATATTTATCACCAAAAACTGCTTAGAGAGGAAAAAGTCAGTAAACCGTATTTTTTTTTTTTTTTGAGATGTTTTTCACTATAGGGCGCATGTGCTCACCAGACAGAGACAAACAGAGAGACAGAAAGCGAGAAATCATCCCCCAGGGGGAATGGCCATGCCGCAATCCCTTCTCCTCCATTCTCCTCTTAGGATCTTGGGCACACACGCACACGTGCCCAGCGTGAATTTTAAGCCACCGGGTCCGGGACGCGAACCGCGGTCAACTACATGGGAGTCCAGCGACATAGCCATTATGCTAACTGCTGGTCCCAGTAAACCGTATTTTTAAACTTTGATTATACACCAGAGATACTGCTGCACAAAGTTTTAGCTATAAAAACATTAAAATAATATTTATAAGATAAGCCTTTTTAATCACATACTTAAATCTCCTAAGTTTCACATAACTGCAATTCCTTATTTTCAATGGAAATGTACAATTTCTTGAAAGAACTGTAATCACCATCTAAGGTACTGACCTTTTGAGATAAAGGATCAACAGAGTAACTCACATAACTGCTTCAAGTTCCACAACCACTAAAGCAGAGCCATAAGGCTCCGAAGATACCTGCTGTTTTTAATGATTTTTCCTCTTGCAAAATCCCTACTGTAGCTACCAGTAGCTCCCTCTGAACTTTTAAGGTCTGGGGGGTAAAAGGAGCTCAGTAATAAGCTAATCTCATTTAGCGCTGAGGATGAAAGATGACTCACCCTGTACATCAAGTAGTAGTAATCATGGGTCAGCAGGTGGTACAGAAGTTAAAGAGGCTGGATCCCACATGACCAACAGCACAGTGGGAGCACTGGACCCAGCAGCTTGAGATACATGCCAGCACATGTGCATTTATGCCCCAAATCCCGACAGGTGAAGGGACTACAGCATGGCCATAACAGGGGGGTGGGGTGGGAGGAGGATTTCTCACTTTCCCTCTCTCTCTTGCCAAATTTAATAAATAAATAAATAAATAATTCTTTAAGAATATTAAATGAGAATGTATCAGAAAATTCTAAATCACTACTTTGAAAAAAAATAACAAATGGAACTAAATAAATAAATCTTTTTTTTTTAATGCGGCATTAAAGGTGGTGGCTGATTGATAATTTTATATAAGATCATATTATTTTCAAATTTCAGCAAAGAAAAGAGGGGTATATCAGTACCTGCTTGTTTGGAAATGCTCGTATGCAGCGAGTCTGATATTTCAGGCTGGACTCCCTGCGCTGCTGCACGTAGCCCATGTTCCTTAAGTCCCACACCAACACTCTGCGGCCCGCTGTTCCCACAATCAGCCGGTCCCCAGACACTGAGAGGGTATACACCTTTAAAGAGAAATCAAAAATCATCTACTTACCTAAAATGGCATTTTGCTACCAAATGAAATTTGTTTTTTCATAAAACCTTAAAAATGCTGATTAGGTTCCCAAACACCAGGTACCAATTTTAGATACTGCTGTTACTCAAAACAAGTAACTCACACAAAATATCAAACCCTGGATACTTTTTGTTTCATTGAGTATCACATAAAAATGTACCTTCTAATTAATTTTGCAAAGGCACTTTTGAAGACTTCTCATTACTCAAACAAGTTAAATTATGTCTCCAGCCTTTCTGTTTTACTTACAGATAATGTAAGTGTTTAAAGAAAGAAGAAGAAAAAAAAGAAATGAGATGCTGAAGGCCCTAAAATAACAAGATACCTTTCAGTGGTCTAGCCTTTCAGTAAACAATAATTTTCTTAAGTTATTTTTCTATGACCTTTTGGAAGATTTTGCAACTCTTTAAAAATCTCCATTTTTTTCCAGCTTTTACACTGAATTAATAGGCCTTTCCAAGAATAATGAGGACACTATCATTAATAAACTATTTAACTGCTTTTGGTGGCATATAAACTCAAAATTAAAAGACAAGGATAGTGGTCTGGCATATTAAAGCAAATTCTTGTGCACTGACATAGTAAACATTCAAGATATAAATTCATCTTTAAGGAAAATTTTCAAAACTATCCCCTTGAATTTCTGTTTTTTCCCCTCACAATCCATTTTCTTCAATATTAAAATTTCCACAAATAGAATTTCCTGCAAGCCAATACTTAATGACTTCTTTGCAATGTTAGAGACCAAAGATAGCAATTCATGAAAAAAGTGGCAAAAAAAAACCTTATGGCCCTATGTTGAAATTCATGACTATGCTAATTATTATTTTCAATAAGCAACTTTAATTTAATCTAACCTACTATTTTCAAACCTGAAGAACTGCTATATAAAATGCAGAAAGACCACTTATCATTAGTACTATCATTAGTACTATAGACCACTGCCCAAGAACCAAGTTAGGTTTAACAATACAGTGTCCCAACAGTCTCTATCAGCTGGCCTTAAAATTCAACTAATGTGACCAAGTGAAAAAATAAACTAAAAATAATTTAAACAGATTTAAATATGATAAATCTAAGACTTATCATAGTTTATTTGGAAAACAAATTATTTACATAAAAATGATGTATATTAGATGTACAAAGTACCAAACTTAAAAGATACAAGAATACAAAAAGAGATCTATTTATAATCATACAATCACATCAGAAATTTTATCTTAAATTTTTATTGCACAGGTGACACACAGCTTCTAACAGTGCCTTCTATCCCCACTGATCATAAATCAAGTGAAACCACTGTCATGCTACTGACTAGGTATATACATTTATCAAAGAAAGTATTAAAAAAACTGACATAATGAACCTTGCTGAACCAATAAGCAGCTTGATTCAGTGTGGCTGTCCATTATATGATATTCTGTCAGCAATTTATCACAGTTCTTAACATGTTACATGCAACCATAAATCAAAACTAGAAACAATGCAATTATTTTATTCTGAACAAAAGATCTTGCCAGGAGTAGATTCCACAGTGATATGACAAAAATAATGACTCTTTGGATGCACTACTGTATATAACGATGGTTAACAGGAACTGAATAGTATATTTACACTAAGAAGATAGACTCACGTGAAGGATACCTTTGAACTGCTAAAACAATCAATCTTTAAAATTAACTACCACCTGATGAGGTTCCAGCAAAAATGGTCAATTACACATTCATCATATGGATCAGAAGGTTAGAATAATACACAAAATTTGTTTTAAAAAGCTTCATTAAGAACCATCAAATTACAGGTTGACACTAAAAAATGAATATACAAACAATAAAAAACAGGGAATGTAGGTCATATTTCTCACTGAACTCAAAATGATAACCCTTTTCACCCTCTTAACAGTCAACTCAAAAGAAAACTCAGGTCACAAATGAAAATGAGTTAAGTTCCATGCCATTTTCAGCTTTCAGTATGTCAAATTCAACTTAAAACGCTAGAACAGGCTTTGCTAAATGATTTCAGTTCTGAAATTTAAAGGATCGAGGATATATGGAGGCAGATTCATTAAGCGAGCACTCTCCAGTACAAGTGTTAACAGTTGACAGAAAAACGTTGACCAAATTCCAAAGTTTATTTTTTATGTAGTTTAGTTTATAAAACAAACTGTCAACGTTTTTTTAAAAATCATTTTTATTTAACTTTATTTATTTATTTAAATTTGCCAGAGAGGGACAGAGAGAGAAAGAGAGAAGTGAGAATGCAAGCTGCCAGGTCCAAGATTCAAACCGTGATCTACCATGGGGGAATCCAGCACCCTTATCCATCACACCATCTGCAGCCCCAAAATGGTCTTTTAACCTCTCAATTCAACAGCATTTTTAATCAAGCATGCATAAAATCAAATCAACCCACCCCAAGGTCCTTAATTCCTACAATAACTATAAAAGAGCCTACCTTTTCAGGCTGAGAAAAGGTCCCGGCATTACAAGGAGTTCTGGGATCCCACAATTTAACTGTCTGATCCCAACTTCCAGTAACCATCACGTTAACTTCTGGACAGTATTCAACACATCTGATAGGAGCATCATGAGTTCCAACAAGATTTTCTACAGGAGAAAAAACAAAAACCAACATCTAATTTTATTACCACTACTAAGCAAAGATTCCTCAAATGAACAATTAAAAGAAATATTCATTTAATTGTAATGAATCTGCTTCATCCAATTCCATAGAAATGTCTGCAAACAGAAAAATCTCCACGGAGACTTCTGCAACTCCATTACTACAAAGTTATCCACCCCTCTGTTCACCTTATAGTGCATAGTTTAATTCATTAGCAACACATGCAGGGGCTGACTTGAATTGTAGTGGCATGTCTATTATTTTCCTCACTTGATTCTAGATTTCTTACCAGGAACTTTGTTTAACTCTGTACTTCTGCCTAAATTCAGTGCCAGGTTACATGCTTAGCTACTCAAGAAATACTCCCTGAATGAACAAATGAGTCAAAAACTTGGGTCTTCTGTCAACACTTTATCTTGACTATTAAGCCAGTACTTACAATAAACTTATTTATGGTTATAGGATTGAGAGTTGCAAGTGAAGTCTTATGATTATTCCACTTGGTTTTCACAGTGGGTCAAATTTCCAATATACAAATTGATCTTCAATTTCTACCTTCACATTATTTCATTTATTCATTCAACTAATATACTGTCTACCACTTCAGAATTCATGCCAGCTGCTAAGAGTACAGAAATGAACAATATGTGGTCTTGATTCTCAAAATGGAACATTATCTTTTTAAAAATACGGCTCCTTTTCAAGTTTATGTTTTCTATGAGCTACAAAGAGAGGGAGAGAATGAGAGCACATGCAAGTGTACCCCCAAAAGTGTCACCATCATCTACACAGCCTTCAGTAGTCTGCAATCATGGACACATGTATGCCCAGCATATTCAGGAAGGTCTCTGAATTTGAACCAGGACCTTTCATGTTAGACTGCCTCCCAAAGTGTGTTTTACCACTGTGCAAGATGGCCCCTTAAAAATTTATTATTTGGGGGGGCCGGCAGGTGGCATGGTAAGGATACCTGACTTCCATGTGGTCGACCACAGTTTAAGTCCCAGACCTGGCAGCTTGCTTTCTTACTTGCTCTCTCTTTTTCTCTCTCACTCTGTCCCTCTCTGGTAAAATAAAAATTTTAAAGAATTAGTTTATTGAGCTTTATCTATATAATTTTAATTTATTTTCACTCTTTCAAAAAAAGAGAATTTTTTACTAAACTTTACTTATTTACTTATTTATTTTGATTTGACCAGAAAGGAATAGAGTGAGACAGAAAAAAAGAAAGTGAGAAAGCAAGCTGCCAGGACTCGAACCACAGATGGCCACATGGGAGTCCAGCGCCCTTAACCACCATGCCACCTGCCAGACCCTCAGTAAAATAATTCTTAAAAAAAAAAAAAATTTGGAACTAGCAGATGGCACAGCAGTTACATTGCTAAACTCCCACATGGGGCTGACCAAGGTTCGAGTCCCAGACGTGGGGCTTCAAAATCATACCAGACACTTGTGCGTGCACAATGGACATTTGTGCATGTGTGCCCAGAATGCCAGGAGGAGAATGACAAAGGGACTGAGACATGGCCATCCCCCTTAGGTGCTAATTTCTCTCTTTCTCTTACTGTTTCTGTCTGTCTCTCTCTCTAGAGAGCAAATGTACCCTAAGGCAAAAACCTCTTAAAAAAAAAATCATCTAAACAAAAGTTATCTCATGAAGTTTGCCAAAGACCTTCAAAGACCAAACAGATAATTGCCTAATTTAGTCTATAAAACAGAAAATCTTTAAGTTTCCTCTTTCATGTTTTATCTCATTAAGTTTTCAAACAAATAGGACTTAAATCTGCAAGCCTACTTAGTACTCATGGTAAGATACTGGCAAACAAAAGTAGGCATCTGCAGTTGAAAGTTACACAAGATCTCATCTACTATGCAAAAGCCTCATCTGACTGGGTACTTAATTTTTTGACAGAAAGGGCCCATCCCTCACTCATCCTCTCATTGTCCATCTCCTCTATTCAGTCACATCTTTGTGCCCTGCCATCTCCTTGAAGTATATTTATGTTTAATGTATGCATGAACAAATACTCAGAGGGCTCTGTGCATTTGATTCCAAAACAATCTCCATTCTGCCCCAAGGTCACCATAAAAATTTGGAAAAATTATTTCATTTATGAACCTCCAAAAATTGAATTACTTACCTACAAGAAAATGTGGCATAATGTTATTCTAATTCAAACATATTCTGCTACTATTCAATATAAGAACAGGATTAATATAAACACGATGAGCCATTTTACAATGTTAAATTTTTAAAAACCTATCTTCCTTTTTTGTAACTTTTGAAAAATAAAACTCTGAAATATCAGCACTAGCCTGAAAAATCCTAACAGAACATAGACCATAATGAATCCAGTCCATATTTAAGGACAAGGTAAAGGTCACTTAAGTGTTAGTTCACATAAACACTAAAAATGGTTATCATAATGGGCTTTACTGCAAAAATGCAAAAATAATGCTGGTGATTAATAACTTACTGGTTACCATTTAAACAAAATAAATTCTAAATTCAAGCCACTTTTATCAGCATTTAAGCAACTTAGTAGGTAACTAAGTAACTCTTCCCAAATAACTATTTCAACCCTAGTACAATAGCCAAAAGAACATACTGATAAAAAATATATTACCTTGATCAGTGTTCAAATCATGCATTTTCAGTTGATGATCTAATCCCCCACTCCAAGCATGGGTTGGATCCTATGAAGTAAGTTTCAAATCATTTAAAGCTGAAAGAACTTTTGTTTCAAAAATTCCTATTTCTATAGTCAACTATTCAGGATGATATGCACTGGGCTCAACTACTCACTGTAAAAAAACAAAAACCAAGTTACTGGTTAGGAAAACTACTTCATCAACAAATTGAGAGGGCTACTGGGTTTGGCACACCAGTTGAGAATAAATAGGTACCTTCATTTAAAAATGATGCCAACTCAGCCCTGTTGCAAATTCCTAACACAATTTTCTTCTGTGTAGAAAGTTTACAAGATGACTCTTTAAGACTAAACTTGAAAGAGGAGACCAAGTTTCCGATGTTTATACATACCCCCAACACCAAAGCCGTTACCTGGTTTAAGGCAGGTGTTCTAGAAAAGATACAGCTGTCCAAATAACCAGAAGTCTTTATCCAACACTGGAAAAGGACGCTGCTAACACAGGCTGTCATACTAAGACCGCAGGAAGGGAAACGCAGAGGCCACTTACGTAGAACGCGCAGTCCAGGACAGCGCCTGTGTGCTGGTACTTGAGCCGCATGGAGTTGGCCGGCACATCATAGAGCCGCACGGATGTGTCCCAGGAAGAGACCAGCAGAAACTGGGAGGTGTTGGGACTAAACTTCACTGAGGAGATGCCATCCTCGGGCGGCTGGTTCAGCTTGAACTCGTTAGAACCAGTCATCTGCAGAACAAGAACCCAGTCAAGAGTCCCAAAAGGGTCCGGGAATCAATAGACGGAGCTGGGCTGACCGCCGGGGTGGGCTGGAGGGAGGGGCCGAGGACGTCGGCGGCAAGGAGTCTCTGCGCCTGCGCAAAGCCTGCGCCCGCCACGGTCGAACTTACCCCCCACCTCATTTTCAGGGCCGCCCTAACTGACCCTCACCTCCGCACTCCTAACCTCAGCTCCCAACCTGTCTAGACGTGAGTATCCATACCCCGGCCTCTTCTCTCCTCGCTTCCCCCAGAACTCGGCACCCGGACGCTCCTCAAATAAAAGGAAAAACAATAGAAGCGAAGCGGGATCCCCGGCGAACGGCTCCACCAGTTGCGGGCCTGAGGAGTCGCCGGAGAATCCGCTCCCGCGCCAAGCAGCCTCACCTTACTACCTCGGGCTCAGCTCCGAAGCAAAGTCGCCGCCGCTCCTCACCGCCGCCGCTCCTCACCGCCGCCGCACCGCCACCTTGTTCACTGGGCGAACTCGCTGGTTGGGCGAAGGAGGGAAGAGGAAGTTCCAACCTACGCCTGCCATTGGCTACTTTCAAATACCAACGATTCAGTTGAGAAAGCCGATTGGTCGGTCTAGCTGCCCGTCGTCGGTCAACCCACTCATCCTGTTCCGGCTCAAAGGGAAACCGATGCTTTTCCGATCACGTGGGGTTCATTTACCACCGCGCTGTGGCGCTTGCGCTCAAGATGGACGAGTGGAAACTACAACTCCCAAGGAGCATAGCGGCAAGGCTGCGTTCCCGCCCTTTCACGCTGGCGTGCAGCACGCTGGGAGATGTAGTGTCCCAGAGATCCACCCGCTGCCTGTTCTCTGAATAGTAAATAGGCGGGAAACACGGTCTTACCAGCTTTGCTCGTCGAGCCTTCTCCTCTCACTGTACAGACACAGGAATCTCACCCTGGCCAGCACTCCTATGAAGCTAAATCATTCTTCCCTTTCTTTGAACGTGCATAAACCTGTGAAGCAAACCGAAGAAAATATTTGCTCTAATCAACTACGTTATTTTGCCTTGATTTTCTTTTTCCTGGAATTTCAACACTATGACCTAGGGTATCATATTTCATATTGTCTGAAGTTCTGCTGATTTCACAAAAGTTCATCCTTGTTCATATTATGCTTTATCTCTCCATCACATCTTTCCACAAACATTTATTGTCTATTATGTGCCAGACCTGGTGAGAGGCCCTGAGAATATACATTTAATCAGACCAATCCTTACTCTCAAGGAATTGGGCATCTAGAGGAGCGAACAGACTGGGGAACAAATACTCTGCAATGTGTTAAAGCTCAAACAGCTTATTTTAAAGATATTTTTATGGAGGCTCCTTCAATGACAGCTAGAACCATATCTCTTTCTACTCTAATCTACAGCTCCCCAAAGCTGTAGATCCAATTTGCTCCATTTTCTGTTTCTAAAATCCTCCATAAGTACAAGAATAGAAAGGTTGCTTCATTATGAGAAATGATTTTCATCTCCATGAAAGAATAACGGAAGTCAGCCACTTTGGCATGGTGGTTAGGGCAGTTGGATCCCACATGACTGAGTCTGTGGTTTGAGTCCCAGAGCTGGCAGCTTGAGAAACATACCAGGCACGTGTGCATGTGTGTCCAAAAATCCCAAAAGAAGAACGAGATGGAGGAGAAGGGATTGCCCAGTGACCATCCACCATGGAGGGGGTGGGGCTTTTTCATTTTCTCCCTTTCTCTGTCTCTCTCTGGCAAGTGCATACACACTCTGGCAAAATTTAAAAAGAAGAGAGAGAAGACAGACAGAAAGAAAGACAGGAACAAAAGAAAGAAAGCAAGAGGGAAAGAGTGAGGGAGGGAGAGTGAGGGAGGGAAGGAAAGTAAAAGACAACACTTAATTAGTAGAATGAAGTGACTGAGATACTCTTGAACATCAAAATCTCAATGAAATTTTAAAATTTAATCCATGCTATAACCTCTTCTCACTGTCTTTTGTAAAGAAAATTTTTTATTTTATGATGTAGTTTTGTATAAAGTGGAAGGAAATTATTGAACTGCTTAGACATTTAAGGTATGTTAATAAGAGAAAGTTACTATTCTTTATGCATTCATACACACTGAGTTAGATACACTTCTTTTTTATGATTCCTGACACAATAAACACAGAATGATGAGGACTCTTCTGCCTACTGCATTGGTGATATTACTGTTAAAGATCCTTCCCTTTCTTCCTCACCAGTCCTTATGCTCAGTTCTTTATCTCTTCTCTTTCAGCAAGTTAATGACCAACTTCCAAATTTAAAAATGCAGTGCCTTATTTCCATTCTAACTTTAGCTAAATAATTTTATCTTCTGACTTATTTGGCTCCCTCGCTCAGTTGTTTATTTAATTCTATTAGTGTTTTGAGATTCTGTGCATGAATTATCCACTAATAAAATCTAAGTGTATTTCATTATCCAGTGTGTGTATGATTCAGGTCCCTGTGGGCATGCAGTTGCAGCCCAACTCGATTCGAGTTTTAAGAAACGTCAATCTTTTAAATCCAGTTTAGAACCTGAAAGGAGGCTGATGATATCGCTGATTTTTCAAATGAATTGATAGTCTTGAGATAGGAAATCTGGCAACAGTGGAGAATTGAACATTTTAAGTCCAAATACAAAAACATGTATGTAGATAATAGAAGACAGAGGAAGTCTTAAAAACTACACTGTTGGATCATTTCTGACTGCTAATTTCAAAATTGGTAAAAAGAGTAAAATATATGTATTATGACAAAGTGGAAAAGAGACTCTGAAATCCTAAGGACAATACTACTCTGGAATTACATTCTGACAGTGACTAGAAGAAACAACTTTCTATAAGTAAAGAAATAAACAGCAGCCCAATATTGTTAAACTATCATTTCTTTTAAAACCACAATCTACTGAAATGGAGACAAAAATTGTATGGATGGAATATTCCTCTACAAGCAGTTCTTTAGAAACAATTTGGTTGATTCTGCGTGCAATATATATTTGAATAAAATAGCAACATTGGAGAAAAGGTATTTAAAGAGGCTGATCTGGAGCAAGAGAACTTCATTAAAATAAAATGTGTATACAATAAATCAGAAGAAAATGAACCCAGCGTACTCTTTTCTCTCTGACTACCCAATATTTAATACATAGTAGTCTCTCAGTACATAAATATCTATTGACACGAACTTAGTTAAAAATGAGACAAATGCAACTGAACTAACATAATATTGGCAGATGTGTTCTTGGGTAACATCCTTCTGCCATTACCTTGGAATATATTACTATGAAATCTAATGAAAAAAGTGATCTCAAAATAGACAATTCAAATTAAATCTTCTTAGCCACGCATTTTATACAGAACACTGCAGGTCACATAGTGATGTACAGATATTCTGTAAATTTTCATAAAATGCAGATAATTTCGATACCTCTCGGCCCAAAAAGACAATTCTCACAGGAAAGCGTTTCCCTTCTAGAGGATGATATCCGGCCTCGGCGCTGAGGACTCCCAGCTGCTTCGCACTGGCTCAGCCCAACCATGGTCAGGAGACAGGAGAACGGACTGGCTCTTCCCCCTTAGTGCTGAATCATCAGTCTCCAAGCTCCTGCTTCCTTTTTCCAATGTTTTACAAGGAACAGGTGGCTGAGATTTAACCGGCGTTAGAGTCTGCGATTTGCCTGACACTTGCGCGACTATTCTCAGTTACACGCCCTCCCAGCCCCTGTGTAGCGGCAGATGCTGGGACGCGGAAGTCGGTGGAAGCCCCTGCTACCTACCACGAACCCATTCAGAGCAAGCGGCCCGCGGGGTGGACCGCGATCCAATTATTATATTTAGCCAACACAATGCAAAACCATTAACAATAAAAGACTGTGGGAAAGCACCTTTGCCTCCGGTACCTTCTTGGGACTAGAATCCCTGCTGGACCGAAGTGCGGCGTTCCAGCCCCTGGTTCCTGCTCTGCGCTGGACGCGCCAAGAGAATCACCGGGCGGAGAAGTTCGCCACTGCAAGCGGGTCTCACCAGGGTCCAGGGGAGCGAAGAGCGCGCTTCACGCGGTACAGGCAGCGCCTCCGCTTGCGCTACACTAGAGAAGAGGCACGTAGCAAGGTTGGGCCACATCGTTCTGTGCCCTGCTGCTGCCAACCCTAAGAGATCTCGGTGCTGGAAGCAAATTGCTGGGGCCCTGGCAGAGCTGGTTCTTGGATAGCGACCGTTTTAGCTGCAAGACCCATTCTCTGCCTTTGTCTTTCTCTGTGTCAGTTGGGTAACTGGATTCCACCGGGTTGCGCCCCAAGCCGCCCCTGGATTATGAGCACCGGGGAAAGGGAAGAGGAGTTCCAACCACTTGCCCCCTGGGCGGCATCAAGGTCCCGACCTTTAACCCCTGACTCCCAGTCTCATCTTCCACTTAAGAGGAGCCAGACTTTTGCAGACACAGATGCCTGCAAGCCCCTCTACAGAAAGGCGAGAAAACCTTCTGAGCGTTATCATGCCGGGCAATCAGTCCCACAAAGTTAGCTACGGTGTTTAAAGTGTTTTATTTTTTTTTCTCTTTAAAAATATTTACAGATCTGAACTCTCCTCTTTTCACCCCTACCCATCCTCCGGATGAAGGAAACGAAAAGAGGCGATTGGACAATTGTCCAAAGCCCCTGACAGCCTGGTTTGGCTGAGTGTGTGTTCATGTACATATACACGGGTGTATATATGGCGGGAGGCGTGCACCTGGTTTTGGTGGTGTGTTTCTGATTTTTTTTCTTATCATCCAAAGCCGATTTAGCCAAAATTCCTTTTCCCACCACCACCCTGAATACACCTCCCTCCAAAATGGTTTTCAAAGCGTATTGGTTTGGTTAGAAAGCAGGCCATCTGGCTTGAAGAATGCCGATAAATACCCGAAACGATCAAAACAAAAAGGGCAGAGTTCATAAATAAAAGATAACGAATACACATGGTGTATTTCTTAATATTCTGGAAACTCGCCGCCTTGCTCCGGAGCCCTATGCAGGTGCAGCCCCCGCCAGGCTCAGCTGGCAGCTGAAATCAGACCCGTGCGTCCTGGGAAGCAGACAGGCGGCGCGGGGGGTGGTGGGCGATTCAGTAGTCGAGCTTGTTGTAAAGGTTGTAGAGAGGTAAGGCCGAGAGGTTGCTGCCGGGATAGTAGAGGGGCGCGGGGAAGGCGAGGGAGCGGGGCACCGGCACGCGTAGCAGCGAGCTGTCCCGGAATACCAGCGGCATGCCCACCAGAGTCTGCGCGGATGCGTGCGCCATGTTGGCCGCCTCCAGCTCCGCTGAGAGCTGCCGCTTCCACTTGTTGCGGCGGTTCTGGAACCAAGTCTTGACCTGGGTCTCGGTGAGCTGCAGGCTGGAGGCGAGGCAGGCGCGCTCGGAGCTGCTCAGGTAGCGTTTCATGTCGAAGGTGGACTCCAGCTGGTACACCTGGCTGCGCGAGAAGACTGTGCGCGTCTTCTTCTAAGGCCGCGCCCGCCTGCCGCTCGGTGCCGCTGTCCCGCGGCCGCTCCGGCCCCGGCGAGGGCGAGCCCGCGGGCAAGAGCCTCTCTTTCTCCTCCTTAAAGTCCGGGTGCGAAGGAGAGAGGAAAGGCGTGCGCTCTGAGCTTGCTAGCCCCGCGCTGCCACTGCCCTTGGGGGTACCTGAGAAGCAAGAACAGACAGTTAGGGCATGGAGTTGGGGAGCATCAGAGACTCCCAGCTCTTTCAGGGACCAGGAGTTTGGCAGCCTTGGTCCCATCTCACCAGCCCCCCTCTTCTCCCTCTCGCGGGCTCCCAAAGCCCAGCACCCTGGCCTTTAAATAGCAACAGGAGAGGGACCCAGCTACTCTGAGGCTGGGACCTCTGTGCTCCCACCCTTATGAAAGGACAGGTGACAACCGGGGGAGGAGGTCTGGAGGGGCAATCCTAGCAGCGTTGTAAAAGGTGATTTTGCCTTGTTAATAACTGAGCTGAAAGAGTTCCTCCAGATTTATAGGATGGCGTCATTTCACAGGCTGTTTGTTTGGAATCACGCTAAGGATTAACGCGGGGCTCCCCTTCCTCAGATGTTGTAAAGAGGAACCATCTCTGAACGCACCATTGTCAATCACCGTGGAGTGCTAATCATTCCGAAGAGGAGAGAGAGACAGAGACAGAGGGGGTGGGGGGGGAGAGGGGGGGGGGGGGGGGGGGGGAAGACGCAGAAAGAGATTGCAGCAGAGATAGACCGCCCAGCCCCAACTTGTGGACAAGTGCAAAGGGTTTGAGGGTAGAGCTATATATGGCGCCAGCCGGGTGCCTTGGCCTTCTGTAGTCCCTCCATCCCTAACTTCCCGACGACTCCTGAACCACGCGGTGTCTGTTCCCTGGCCTCCTCAAGAACGTCCACAGGACCAAGTAGGCAACTCTGGCGTGCGCATTCCCTCTCTTCCGCCTGGCACCCCAGCGGCCCCAACTCTGGTCAGAGGGGGCTCAGCACCTCGAGTCTCGGCTGAGTGCGCAGTTTCCCTCCCCTCGCGCTCGCCCGCTGCCAGACTGGCGACGTTCGATCCTTACCCAGGCAAGGAAAAGGAATGGGGGCATGGTGCTTGGGGCCCAGTTCCTTAGGGCCGTGCGGATCTGGGCAGAAGCAGGCTGGCGCCTTCCAGCCGTCGTCCGGCTCTTCCTCCTCCGAGGACACCGACAGGCTGCGCTTCCTGGCCGGCCAGCTGGTGGGCTCCCGCGGTGCCTCCGAGGGGCTCCCGCCCAGAATGGACTGAATGGTGAAGCTGGAGACAACACCGGTTGCCGGACACCCCTTGCCCGCATCTTCCTTGCTGCCCATCCTGGGTTCATAAGAAATCGGAGGAAAGCAAGAACTCCCTTTAGAGACGATGTGGGTGGAAAGTGGTGCAGGCAGGCAGGGGGGAGGGGCGGGGAGGTAGACCAAGGGGAGGGGACGGAGAGACTGGAGAGGCGTCCCTTCCGCACGGGGGGCACGCGGGCACCGGACGGCTGCGAGGGAGTCCCTGCCCACTAGGCTCTGGATGCGCCCGCCCAGCCGGGGCGTGAATGCCCCTTCCCCGCCCGCCC